CACACCTCGTGTACACTGCATCCTGCTAGTTAGAAAAGAAAATTAAGATAAAGACCTTTTGTCAGTGCGTACTCGTGAGGGTGTATGGCACTGCACATCATAGTGCCCATAATAACTATATTAATTGTCCTCCGTCACATGGGCAAAGCCAAGTGAAAGAGAGACGGAGATCTGGACAGGAATCGTTCACAGGTGACAGGAGCCTCGTTCCTGTCCGTCCTCGAGTGCCTGACCGTGTAATTGCACAAAATGCCTCATTACTTGAGAGCTCACCACCCCACATGGTCCGAGGGTGTAAATTGTTTGACTTCCCTGTTGATCCCTAGAGCTCAGGGATTAAATGAGCACGGGATTTTTGAGAGGAGTTCAACTGACCTCTCAGTAGCTTCTCTGTTACGGTGAACAACTGGTCAAGGACACGCAGGAGGCTCTGGTGTAGTACTGCCGCATTAGTGAAGAAAATCATTAGAACAGGCTACCCTGGCTCAGGACTTTTATATATTATTGAAGATTATTGATTACTGTACACAGGAACAATGTCCTGCCCACCTGTAAAAAGATACGAAGCTGTGTGGAAGCTGGGAAGGCTCCCTGCGGTAAGCGGGTAGGTAAGCAAAAAGGTGCTTGTTTCTACGGGTACAGGTTGTTTTTACTCACTCCCTTAGCATTGTAGCAGAGTGGCTGATAAATCCAGAGCTTTTCAGGTTAAGGTCGGTGGTATCAGCGTGTGATGGCAGAGTGTTTCCAAATCAAATGAGATGATCACAGCCTCTGAGTGGGAAGTTCTGCAGTTTCATCTCCCAGTCTTCCATGGATCCATGTGTACAAGATCATGTGGGGTGGAAGCAAGAGATTTGGTATTTACAGGTTGTACGAGGATGAAAAATGATTCTACGAGAATCCATTGACGAGCTCCATAAGCCATCCATGGGGTAATCAGGCTTAAGACACCGCTGCAGAGAAGCTTGCAGCAATAAATGAGTCCAGCATAGAGGACTGCAGCTGTTCGATCTGCTCCAGCTTCTGTACTCGCATGCAGGCAGAAACCATCTTACCCATAACAGACACCACACAAAGAAAAATAGGTTGTCTGGCCTTAAGTGATAGGGCGTTTGTGTCTGTAACATGACAACACAAGTCAGGAAACATTCAAAATACATAGATATTTAGATTATAGAGTTGTGAATGTAAGTGCTGTTTGCACAGTATGTTTTACCACCATGAAGCTGTACTGGGGGTTTTCAGAACAAGCAACGTGGAACGCACGAGCCTGTTTACAGAAATCTCATTTCCCAAAACTAGGTTTCAAGTTCAGAGAAAAGTGGAACATTAGTTGCAGTCACAGGCCATACAGCAGGGAATGAGGAAAAATACTTAGAAAGAGGAAGCATTCAGAAAATAATAAAAATTTTCTTCTTATAAACCAAGCAAGCCCAGCTCAAGATGTCAGCATGCCACTGGAATATTGTATGTGTGATGCTCATGACTGAACCGTGCTAAGCCAGCAGCAGAAGCTGACAGAACAGCACGCTATTGGTGTTCATAAGAGAAATCCTGTAACCATGTGCATCATAAGGCCAAGGAATGTTAAGAGCAGTTTACAACCGATGGCAGAAGATAGCTTTTTAAATTCTAAGACCCTGTATCAACCTGAAGAGAACTTCAAGTGACTTAACAGGACAGCAGAGTCAACTTTCACTAAGAGAACATCAAAAGGAAGTTTTATCGGTCTCTGTAGAACTCTAGGTGTATTTAGGTATCCAAGGGCACAGTATAAACTGAAATACAGGGAGCGCTTCAGAATCTGATACCCAAGGAAATACTTTTTATGGTCCCTCTGCTGACTTAAATCCAATCATTGTGTATTTTAAAACTTCACAAATAAAAGCTACTAGAATTAAAGCAGATGAGCTTGTGTACGTTTAAGCTGTTAAATGTAACTAAATCTTCCATATCTAACAGTTCATTTCAATTTACCTGCTGTATCTTCAGACTGGCATAGCTTGTATAAATATCCTATTTAGAAATTATTTTCCATTCAGAAGGCTTTTTCCCCCCACAGTCCTTGGAAACACTGGGATGTCAAATGTTGGGTAGCTTCCATTGCTGGAACTGAAGTAGCGCTAGAGCTGCAAGGAGAGAAATTACTAGGTATTTTGCAGAGTTCAGGTTTAGAAACATTAAGCTATTTCATGTGAAGCAATGATGCCCTTTAAAGGACCTGGTTTGCAAATGGTAGATGCCCCGGACTTGGAGACAGAGAGGTACGGCAAATAAGTTGATTCAATACCAGCATTTTACTTCAGTCCTTGAGTTAGCCAAACATTTGCTTTAGCGCTAGACTGTCCTTTCATTTTACTCTAAATTGCAACATGGATCAATCATTCATTTTACTTTTGGACATTCCTCAAAGCATTGCCACATGTTTAAATGGATATGTTCTCCATTAGTGTTTCTGTCTTCTGTCCAGATTTTGGAATCTTTCCCATGAAAAGTAAGATTGGGAACATGAAAGCAGAGTATTACTAATAATACACAATAACTTGCATTCTCATTATTTAACCTTTTGCCAATGAGCTAAAGAATTTAATATGCATTTAAGAAGACAAAACAGAGATCACAACAGGCTTTTGCACCTACATATACAGAAGATAGCAGTCTTAAGTTAGCAATATTGAAGGACCATAAAAGATTGTTTTCTCGTAACATACCAGAAGTCGGATGTGGTTGACATTCTCTTGGAATTCGCACTTAGGCCGGGGCATAAGTGGTCATGGATGATGTCCAAATTTACAAGAACGAGTGCTTTAAATTAAATGCAATAAACCAATGTGCACTATTACTGATATCCATAGTCAAAACAACATTCCAGCTGCATTGGTATGAGAACACAATAGTGCTCATTCTTTCACAGTTGGTACTATATTACCAAATATGAAATAAGAATCATCATCTATAGACTTTTTTTTCCTAGAAAAGTAATCAAATTCTTGAAACATAATTAATTTCTTCTCCCTTATCTTTTCCCCATCCTTAAAACCGGTACAGCCGTAATTTGGGATCTAATCTGAGCTTTGCTCCATGAATCGCAGTGGATTGTTGAAGGAAATAAGAGTTCTGTAATATTATATATCCAGCTTTATGATTGAGCAAAGGTTACAATAAGCACTGTGTGTGAAAAGCTTTAGTAATGCCATTCACATAAAAATTTGGCTTGCAAAATAATACAGTTTTTGTAAATAGGTTATGTCTATGAAGATTTTAACAGTAAGACATCAAGTCCTGTAGATGACAGATGTTATGATCTTTAAGTCCCAGGGCCCTGAGAGGAGTTTAAATAAAAGTGTCAAGTACAAATATAAATTAAATACAAAACTGGAACTGCTTAATTTCTGCCAAGTCCCCTTTTTCTACCACAAATGCATGGCTGTTTTGCTTTGTTTTGTCTGCTACTTTGAGTCAATATCTACAGCAATATAATTAACTCCACCAAAAACTCATTTCAGTGTGCATAGTTACCGGATTCTTCAGCTTGCAAATATGCTGAAAGAAAACCGAACCAGGCCAACGAAAAAGCCCCAGCGGGATAACGCACGCTCATGAAGTACTGCTGCGGCCCCCTCTACTGGTTACTACCACTGGTACAACGACCTTAGGAAACGTAAAAGTAATTCCAGGTGTAACACCCACGTCATTTGCAACGTAGGCACTATTTTTCTAATTAAAAAAAAAAAAATTTCCTGCAAAAGTTGGGCCATAGAAAGCTATGACTAGGGAACACAAGGAAAAAAACAAAAAAGAAAACCAAGTTCATATTACCAAAAGTCCTTCCAAATAGCTAACAAAGTTATTTGAATAGTAGTAGGCAAATTTTCAGTCACAAGTTTGAAGAGAGCAGCCAATAATCAGAACTTGAAGAAAGATGAGCAATAATTCAAATGTTTAATGAACTGCCACCTTCCAAATAGAAGGAAAATTTGAAAAGAGACAAAAATATAAAAAAAACTTGAATACATGAAAACATTTTTAAATTCAACACATTTTAGAGATAAAATTTTGCATTGGTCTACAGAACAGAGAGCTGAGAAATGGCAGGCACTTCTACACAATAAACTCAGAGTTAGATCAGTTCCAACAGCTCAACCTACATAATATACAAAATATATACAAAAGCAACCTAGACTTCACCGGCGGTATGACAGATACCTCCTAGATTCAAAAAGGTCAGTCTCCTCACTAAAATTCTAACACATTGCAAACCCAGACAGTGTAGCAGAACCAAGAGACAGACTGTACTGGACAATGACACTGAATATCAGAACAAACTCCTAGTTGGAGAGGATCACACAGATGGAACCTGATGGCTTTGAGTCTGTTGCGCCGCACAGTCTGTGGTCAAGCACAGGGATCTTCAGTCTTCATGACACAAGTATTTCTGACACTGGCCACCTGGTTAATTATTACAGATTATTTGGTTAATCAGAAGCAGGACTATAGTTTCTGTGTTTTGGGAGGGGTTCCAGGACACTGATAAAAATCAAACGTGATGTGATGTGTTAAAGTGCTCCGCAGTAGTGAAGTAATGATAGTGAAAGTAAATTCCAGTCACGTCAATTTAGAAAATATTCATCATTGTTTGATACAAGAGCTCTGTAAATGAACCCAGAACAAAATTACCATGCTATGTCAGAAGAATATGCATACTAGGAAAGACTATACAAGGAGGCCAAGACCACTGGTGACTGAAAAGATAAAAGGCAGATTGAATTTACAAAAGACATAAGAAATTCCTCCTTCTCCTCCTTAGAGACCTCTGCTTTTATGAAACTGTGGCCTACACCAAGCATCCTGGATATCAACCAATTATTAGACAAGAATACTAAAGAACTGAGTAGCTAACAGCACTCCCATTCTGGTGAGAGACAGCTTGGATTCTTACAAGACTAAAATCAAAGACTATCCAGTCTGACTTCTTCAGTCCTGCACGGGCATCTAGTGAGTCATCTGGGATCCTGGAGCAAATGTTGGTGAATCACGCTGACTATTCTGCGCAGATAGTGGTAACCAATTGGTACGTTGGAGAGAACAGCAGAAATTTCCTCCTCCCTGGGAAAGATAAAATTATCACACGTGTTGAGAGGATACAGAGCGTTTAATTTCCCAACCCTGGCTCTGAAACTTCAGTCATACGGAGTGGTTCTTTCTGTTCAACTCACCCAATATTCCCAATTTGGTTTTGGACAGTAAAAGGCAGTGAAGCAGATGGGTAGTTGGCAGATAGAGACAGGGTCAACTCAAACTTTGCAAAAGCTGTGGAAGCGGAGAACAAAAGCTTCACTCTGTATGCGAAATAAACACAAACAAAAAGATCAATATAAAATATTCAAATATACTGCTGCCACCTTTGAATTAAGTTCCAGAAGTGAAAACAAATATTGTAACTGATGCAAGAAATTCAATAACTTCTAAAGAGTTCCAGCACAGACTAACAGTAACTTAATAAATAAGGTTAAAAGAACCTTTCCACTCTAATACTATCAGCACTCTAACACTGAGTTAGAATGCAAAACCCCCACTTTCCTCATGGAAAAAGTTAATACACACATAATTCTTAGAACTTTTCAAAAATTATGGGAGAATATAGAGTAATCATAAAAAATATGTTTTCTAGTTAACATAAAATATTCCTAGGTACCTAAAGTTTTCTGGAGTTTTAAGTAGGACTGATTTACCTTCAGTTCCATAATTCTAAGAATGTCTCATGAATCCAACCCTATTTAAATCAGGCCAAATTTCTGTCTAGCACAGTACACGTGTCTATGACAATGTGCAGGAAGGCCAGAGTTGAATTTTATTATAAATATGTGTAAGACCATCACCAAGGACACAGTGCCCAGGAAGCAGATGCTTCAGGATAGCATAAACTAGAACCAGCATAATGCAGGTCTTTTCCAGGTAAATCTCCCACAATTTGCAACTTCCTGAGTACAGGCTGCCCTTGCATCTGTTTTGCTGACTTAACTAAATATAGCTTTTATGGGATTTTTGGCATGTAGCAGAACACCACTCTTGCAAAGGGTACTACAAAATTAGAATAACCTATGGGAACAGCATCAAGGCATGCAGAGCAAGGTTAACTAGGCAATTCTTAGTTAAAGATGTACATCAATAATAGAAGGATAAGGCGACGTGGTATTTATCTTGTTCCACTGGGCCATGCCATAAAAATCCAGAAGCAGTATGAGAAAGTGAAAACTAAAGAAAATAAACTTTAGTTGAAGTGCATCCATCCTTCAATGACTGATTCTGCTTGGCTGAAGCAAACAGAAGATTAAGAGAAACAAAGCACTAAGCTACAGGTAGACTCTTAGCTCTGTTTCCTTTGCACTGCTACACTCTGGCCTAAGGTTTTAAGTGAGAGGGTCAAGTCAAACAGGAAAGCAGCAAGGAAGGAGGTGTTATGTGATAGTAAGGAAGTGGCTGAATCCAGAAACAGCTTAATTTCCATGCATTTAGATGTTATAGTGCAACTGTATTAAAATAAACTAGATTGTTGTTAAAAAAAGTTGCATGAAATCTCAGTTTCAAGAAAACCAAATTGAAAATATTACAGTGCCTTGTTTCTGATTATCCAGAAGCACTCTCTGAAGGACTGATGCAAACTCCATCTGAAGTTACTCACTTTGTGTCACTGATATCTGTCTTCAGAAGATTAAATTTTCCACCCCATCTCTCCAGAAATTCAATCTCCTCTCCCAATATCTTGCAACGACTCACCACCAAAGAGACATCATGAAGAACCTAAGTGGGCAAACAGAAAAGCAATCACATTGGCACTCAGGCTGGTAAACTATGTGACACTTGAAAACACAGTTTATCCTAGAAAGTATAAAAAAGAGAAAGTTTAATTGCTATCTCGGTTTGGATGTGAAAATTAAATTGTACAAGCCTAACAACAAAAATACATTCTTTGCCCTAAGTTACTCCCTTCAGCTTTGTCAACAGGGGTACGCAGACATGCAGGAACACCAAGTTTGGCTTGGCAATTTAAACCATTAATTCTTTAGGAAGCAGAATGGCATTCAGCTCAATTCTTTTTTTTTATGCTAGTAGAAATTAAAGATTTTCAGAAATCATTAAGACAGGGAGACATTAATGCAGCAAACAAAGAAGAAACCACAGCTTTTAGAACTCTTGCCTTCAGGGGCAGGTACTTCCCCTCGTACCTCAGAATACTCATGAAGCAGATTTTGATTTGCATTGATGAAGCATTCGTTAAGATGCTTTTGTTCTCAGTATCAGCCCTATTTTCTGCGACAGAAAAGATTTAATGTTATTCCAGAGTCTTACACCCTTTCCTGGAACATTACCTGGGGCAAGTAGTACAGTGTGGGACACTTTTCCTGCCAACATCCCTTACTTTTAATGAACTGGAAGATGAGCCTTTGGACTAAGCATGAGGAGGGTGGAGCTTTTTCCTCTGTAACACAGAAGAAAAACACGTTGCCAGACATCTTTGAAAAGCCATATAGTAATGCATTAGCAGATACACCATAAATTTACAGATGTCTTCCCAAGAACAGATTATTAGGGCAGCTACTTTCAAGCTACTCAAAAAATCTTACCATCCAAGAGAGATTCAAAGTTCAGGCTAACTATCTTTCTGGAAGGATCTTCACCAAAAACATCACCATCTGAGAAGGAAAGGAAAAAAAACCCCAAACAGTAGTTATTTCCATACTTTGTTCTGGAGTTACAAGCTCTTCCTCTTCAGAAACAGCCATTCATTACATACTTTTCTGAATTTTAATAGAATCATAGAATCATTATGGTTGGAGGAGACCTCAAAGATCATCAAGTCCCACCATATACCCGATGCCACCATGCCTGCTAAACCCACTAAACCATGTCTTGAAGTGCCACATCTAAACGTTTTTTGAACACCTCCAGGGACGATGACTCCACCACCTCCCTGGGGAGCCCGTTTCAATGCTTAACGACTCTAACAGTGAAGAAGTTCTTTCTAATGTCCAACCTGAACCTCCCCTGGCACAACTTGAGACCGTGTACTCTTGTCCTATCGCTAGTTACCAGGGAGAAGAGACCGACCCCCACCTCGCTACAACCTCCTTTCAGGTAGTTGTAGAGGGCGATCAGGTCTCCCCTCAGCCTCCTCTTCTCCAGACTAAACAACCCCAGCTCCCTCAGCCGCTCCTCATAAGACTTTTTCTCCAGGCCCTTCACCAGCTTTGTTGCTCTTCTCTGGACACGCTCCAGCAGCAAAATGTCCTTCTTGTAGTGAGGGGCCCAAAACTGAACACAGTATTCGAGGTGCGGCCTCATCAGCGCAGAGTACAAAGGGATGATCACTTCTTTAGTCCTGCTGGCCATGCTATTTCTGATACAGAATTTTCATAGAAAGCTCTGATAAACATATCAAAAGTCACCTCTCTCAGCTTACACTCTCCTGCTGTAGGATGTTTTCTATTTCCTTTTAGCAGATCTTCACAAATATAGAAACTTCAGGTTTCTGTTATGTAACTGTTTAACCTTTCGAATTCATAAAACTGAAACCTACCAATTTTGTGACTTACCTATTGGGGGTCCAAACACAACTGTGAGTTCAACAGAATCATAAAGAAAATTAAAGACTGCCTGCTGTTCACTCCATTCAGTAATCTCCCACTCAGTGAAGCTAAAAAGGGGGGAAAAAAAAAAAAACACCATCACCCTAGATTTCAACCAACCAAGACAATTATCTGAAGGACAAAGATCAGAGTACTAAGTGCACTTGCAGCTATTACCACATAATATACCAACAAAATTTTCACTTTCCAACAGAACATAAGGATCTGTTGGGAACGCAAGTATAATGCTATTCATTTTCCATAAATGTTCATTTTGGAATTGGAGGAGAGTTGGATATAAGACAACTGAACATAGAGTATCACTGCAAAGTTGTCAGTAGAAAAAGAGTGCACCACATGTGGAAGTTCACTGAGGCTTTATTGCTTATCCTAGGCTGTGAGGAGATGGGGTTCCAAAGATTTCCCAAATCAAATAACAAGGAAACCCCCCCCCAAAAACATTTATATATGAATGTGAAGCCCCAGAACTAGCTGATAAAAGTAAAACCTGAAGGTCTTTTCCTTACTTGCATCTCTCCAGGAGTTCCTGGCAGCTTTTTTCTTTTTCCTTTAGCTGGTTCATCTGAGCAAGCATTTGCTCATTCTCAGTCTCCAGATCCGACAGCTCTCTGAAAAGATAAACCAACCACATGAGATAAAGCACACTGGTTAAAAAACCACCAACCCTCTAAAACCTGAATAGGCACATGTTATCTAAGGTCTTTAGATCCTCTTTGACATCTTACCTTTGAAGTTCCTCTTCTTGGGCTTTGAGGCTTTCCAATTCTAAGAGAAAGGAAAAAAAGCTATGAGAGAAAAGAGCAGCAAAGAAAGCCCTAACTTGCTGCGCAGTCACTGCTCTTAACAATATAAAAGATCTCAACTTAGTGGCTGTTACGCCTACCTGGATAAAGAGATGTGGCCAACAAAGGTTAGTAATTATTGAATGATTAAAGTGCTGAATATGATGGCCAGCACACACTCTCCAAGTCACACTGTACCAAGTTCTAAACCCCATTTTTCTGGGAGAAAAACAGTCCTTTTTGTACTTTAACATCTATGTAATTAGCTATATCCAATGCAGAAAAGAAACCAGTAGTGTTTGTGTCCATACCAGACTTAGTATATCAGGGTGGGGGTTGAGTATCACCCTCTCCAGAATTTAAAAAACAAAAGTGCCATTCAGTTGGTACCATTACCTTCCTGTAGGCTTTTTCCTTTTCCCATTTCATCGCTGCAGTCTGCTTCCCATTCATCCCAGTCAGAATCTACGGGAAAGAAGTATCGGGTCTCTGCAGAACTCCCAGATTCAATACTTAGATTCCATTTTATTTGTCTGTGGGTTCTATAAATTTTAGTATTTCAAAGCTAATTAAGAAAAAATGTACAAAAAGCTGGAAGGGTATCTACCAAAAACCTCAAAAAGTAACAGATTACAAGGAAAACTCCTTTTACTGCATTGCTTCAAAGCTGCTACTGTGCAATTTGATTTCCACTTATGGCACTGGAAGAAATTCAGTTGGAACAAAAGAAGTTAAAATACACAGAGCATCATTATGCAGCAGTGCCAAGTACTGACTGCAGCTTGTGTGAACACAGCTGAACAAGTTTTAAACCATCCAGCTATGATGCTGAAAATAGTACTGTCCTGGAGTGCAAAGCTTAGTCTTGCCTACCTGCAGGATCGCTGGCAGGTTTTGCAGCCATTTTGAACTGTGTGCTACCAGCAGCTGTACTGTTATTGCAAGCAGATTTAGCCAGCTTGGTCACCTGTTCATAGGCTATAATTATAATTCTGTATTTCAGCACAGATATACTCCTAGTCTTCATATGATGTGTAAGTGATTTCACAAGTCAAGTTTGCAGACACAAATGAAGGCATTTAGGCCTAGCAAATACTTCTAACAAAGGAACTGTAAAATTCCAAGCAACCACCAAGCCCAGAATCTTGAACTGACTGTTTAAACAGCAGCTCTGCAAAAAACCAGAGAAATCAGCATATTGGTCACGGGTTTGGAAACACATACCTGCTTCCAGAGCAACAAGACAGCTCTCTGCCTCCTTTAGCAATTCATCCACCTTTTCTATTCTTGACTGTAGCTTTCCATGTTGTTCCTAAGATGGGAAAATTGTACTCAAGTCAGTGACATTTTCTAAAAAGCTGAATTGTCTTCTGGGACCACCACGTAGATCTTTGCTTGCTAAGAAAGTAATTAAATATAATCTGTCATTAGAACGAAGAGGCAGACTGACAAACACTAGGGCAGTAGCCACCCATAAGAAAGTACTAGATACTTAACAATGTATCTGTCTAATGACTTTTCTTATGAAGGGATGAGATAAGACATGGAAATAAATAAATTCCTAGAGCGTTTAACACACAAATTTCTGATAGCTATCACAATGTGTTACTTCTGCATTTCCTTGTTAGTTATGAATACAGACATTACTACAGTATAAAGAGCGAATTTCTGATGGCATTTCCTTTAATTCTACCATTTTTCACTCTGTTACTTTTATTGCCAAAACCCTCAGGCAGAAGGTTCCTGTAGTGCAAGTGCAACAAAGTCACTTTCCCAATGTGTTTTATATTTGCATATAATTAAAAGGCAAGTACATTTAATAAGAAGGAAACTTTCAAGAAAATGCACGCTTACATACAATAATGAGGCTCCTACACTTGACTGTCAAAGACAGACGAAATATAGTAGAAGTTCCTTTTTTTGAAGATAAACCTCTGCAGCCTTGTGGCACGTTACCTGCGCGCTCTGCAGCAATTTGCTGTACAATGTCACTTTCTCGTTGTGGGCCAAGATTTTACTCTCCTTGGAGAAATAGGATTTCATTTTGTTCAATTCTGCTCCAAAGCTCTTCAGCTGCGATGAACGGGAAACACAGAAGTGAATGGGAATGTGCAACAAAAGATTGTTCCAGCAACCCTTTAGATGCTTTCTCCCTTCTCTGCTCCTCCCAGTATCCCATTTCTCTAGTAGCAGTATTACCTGACACTTGCAAATTAAATCAAATTTAAGACTGGACAATCCCTATTAATTCAAGTACAGTCGCCTACTAAAGTAACTCATTTTCTTCATAAAGACCCAACAAGATCTTTACTCAAATAGGAGGCACATAAATATCTAAAGAGACGCTTTTACCAAAAACCAGAGCACCTTCATTAAGGACATCAGATGTCTCTCATCCCAGTTGTTTGAGTCGCATTTAGAACACTTGCCCCATTACGGTTAAGAAGGCTAACTGAAATGCTCACGAAGTCCAGGCAGAACCCAAATCACAAGAAGTAAACTTAAAACCTGTTTTAACAGAACATAGCTACAGATCATGCAGTTCAATTTTTTTCTCTGACAGCTGTCAATCCAGAAGCTGCAGAGGAAGGTGCAAGAAGCTTTTTTCTACAATGTTTACCATCTGCCTATTTCCACATTCCGATTGCACTGTGTGGAGATTTGATTAATAAGCTTTCAAATTTGTTATTCTTAGCTAAGGGTTCTAGGTGCTTTCATTGTTCATAAGTATAATTCTTCCTGAATCTAGTTAATAGCCTAGCCTCAATGATACCCTATATCAATCTAATTATGAACTATGAAAGATACTGTCTTTTATCAATTTTGATTCTTTATTTTCATTGAATAGATCTTTATTCTTGGCATTAGAACCAAAGAAAACAGAATGTCTTGATCTACCTTCTCAGTCCCAGCTGGAATACTTTTATAATGCTTCTAGTTTTTAAATGCGAATGTCTTTGGTGTGCTTTTTTGTGCCCGTAATCATTAGGATTCTCCTTTAAATATCCTCTGGCTTCATCTTTGGTTTTGGTATGTGACACCATGTGACTCCAAATCCTGTATGCAGTTTCATTTTTGTGTAATGACACATATTTTCTGTTCATTAATATGTCTTGCAACATCACATATCTTTCTGAACTAAGTAAGTATTTCAGATAATGGACAATTCTGCTCCACCAGTGAAACAAGAGAATCTCTACTGTAAGAACAGTTCATTTTTTCCTTCAAAAATGGCACTATTTGCTTAGGCCCATCTAGAGTTTCTCTTCTCTCTCTCTCAACTAACCTGAATTATCGACTCGAATTATCAAGTTTTTCTGTGTTATAGCAACATATTCCCTTTAATATATTTTAAAGGGCACAGGTCCTTACACTCTTCTGACATACTGGAAGTTCTCATAGTAGTTTTCCAGTCAGAAAATATTTTGCTTTGTATCACCTACCTGCCTACTGTTATTCTGTGACCATTCTCGTTCTTATTTGAATACATAAATTAACCTTACTTCTTCATTATGTAAGAAACAACATTATTGCTTCATGCAGTATTACCTCTTCATCAGAGCAGGTTCTCATTACTTCCCACAGACTCTTATTCACATTCACCAGGAGTTGGTCCTGGACATTTGCATACAGTTTTAACCTGAAATGTGGAAAAAAAATAAAGGTTGAAAGAAAGTCTTATTGCAACTGTACCGAGCACATAAAGCAGCACATTGGTATTTATGTAATTTATTCCCCATTAAAACATGGAAATGTAAATATTTTCATTTAGTTTGGTCTTACATCTTGGAGAGACCCTCTAAAGCCTTCATTAAATGCGGGCCACGTCTGTTACACTCTAGCACATCATACAAAGTTCATTTCCTATAGTCTTTTTGTTGAGGGCAGATCTGAACAGGAGGTGGAGAGCTAGAGAGCCAAAGAAATAGGAAGCGGTACTAATGAGGCTGTGAAACATCTTACTGCTGATTTTGAATTTTATCATAAATCTTGATTTTGCACATAAATTGTAAAAGGCATAATGAATCAGGCCATAAGTGTCCTCCAGATATGAAAATAAATCATGATAACTGTATTTCAATCTAATAAACACTGGAAGATTTGAACAAACAACAGATCGTAACCCGTTACGATTCTGCTTTCTATGTTTGATCATTTTTGATACAGTTTAGAAAGTTTTACTCTAACTCTTCTGATGTGCCACTGAAACACTCTTATTAGTAAAAGATAAATTACTAAGGAAAGCCAAACTTTAATTATCTCCATAACCACAACTCCTTCCCAAGAGTTAGCCCTATACTATCTAAATCTGTAATAAACTGGCTACCAGCATAAAGTAGGTTAACTAGCGTTTGTTTTTTTTCCCATATGTAATGTATTAACTTTCTTCAGGCCACTTTGCATGCAACCAGAGCTGAGAAAATAAAATTACTAATACACTCTGACTGAAAAAACACTTACTCATCTATCATCCGAGAAAGCGCCTGGCAATCTTCTTCATAAATACGCAGCTTGGGGCGATAAACATATTGGCTGTAAATGAGGTCTTCTGGAGTGCGTGGTGCACTGACTGCACACTGGGGAAACACAGAGGGAAAGATTGTGAAGAAAAAGAAGTAAGATGCGTATTTTTCAGAAACAGTAACTTCCAGTCAATTCATGTACAGAAAACCAGCAAAAGGGCCGGAATCTTTATTTTTGCAGAACAGAAAAAAACCGAAACAACCTAATGGAGGCAGCCTGACATACTTAAATGATTGCTTTCATTCTGGACTTGTCCTGTTTCATTCTGAGACAAGTCACTCATATAACCTTACATAGCTCATTCCAATTTTATGCCCCATGATTCCTCACATTTGAGCATGGACTTCCTTGACTTGCTTTTGGGACACATACCTCATCACTAGAGTTCAAAAAAAAAAAAACAAACAAAAACCACAAAAACAAAACACACAAGAGGTTAACTTCCTTTTAGATGAAGACTTGAAAAACACACATATGTTATCCAGGTAACAAGAGTGCTCTAGAATAAAACAAGATAGCTGTGCTTGATTCAGAATCCAAGTTCCCAATTTTCAACAAGTCTTAGGCACATCAAATAAATATGATGGGGGTATTTCAGCAAGCTACCTATATACTGAAGCACATAAATAACTGACATTAATTCCATCTCTTCAGAGAAAGTTTTTAGGGGCTTTTGGGATGGGTGAGGGGGTTGTTTTTTATCAGGGATCAGCCAGTGATGAATAGCACCAGCATTTTAAATAAAAACAGAAGAGATTTAGAAGTCATAAAGGAAGCAATTTAATCAATACAAATTATATTTAGTTGTGATTCTTTTTAATCAGTTTTCATTCTTTTGTCATAACAGTTTTAAAGAACTTTAAAACAGACAGACTTTTTACTTGCGCTTGCTAAGCTGACACACAGAAATTTTATTCAGTTGGTGATGAGGCAACAAAGAAAGGCAGAACACCACACCACGTGTGCCCCACAAACACATCAAACCAGAGGTATGCACTGGCTTTCTGCAAACTAACAAAACAAGGTCCACAGTTGCAGTCCTTATTTCCCAGGAGTTATTTACATTTCTAATGTGAGTATTCTACTGACATATTTGCCCTGACAATATGACATCTTACAGCAGTAAGACTTGGTTATACAGTAACCAGTTTTCAACTAATCTGAAGTACCAGCATGAATTTCATGAGTAAAGACTTTATACAAATATACCACTTCCCATGAGAAGAATATGATCTTGACCGCATCTTTTCACACATAGTAACTACTTCACTCTTAGACTTATTATCATAAAGACATATTAAAAATTCCTACCAAAACAGGTGTCACACCACCCATTTGAAAGACAGAAGATCAAATCTCATTAGAACTTATTTAACGTTGAATAGACTACTGAAAAGTTCTCCAGCACTCTACAGTAAGTACTGGCATAGAAGAAACTCCCAAACTAGTATCAAAATTATGCAGACACTGCTAAGATTTTCAGCTTTCCAGGATGGCTTTTCTGTTGCCCCAGTGCATTGTTCACTGTGCCAGTAGAAACTGTAGTAAGCAGCAGGAAATGGAAGTATTTGAACTAAATCCCCATACACTTTATTAAATAAATGCTAAGCATTGCAATCTTCAAAGCAACTTTCTCTGTTTACGAAACTTGAACATTTTCCATGTCATTATAATAACTACATACAGAAAACTAAGCAGCTCATTCACAGTACTTCATTACGTAAGTACCATTCCTTCTAAAGATTATTTGCAAAATCCGGACAGATTAACAGAGACCAGGCCTAGCATCCAGTTAGAAATTCAGTTAGCTACACAAATGTGTACAAATAACCAAGTCTGAAACACTAGTCTTAAGAAAGCTTAAATGAAAATAAGGTGCCTTTGCTGAAAACAAGTTACAAGGCACCATTTTCTGGATGACTGCGAAGTAAGATTACTGCCTTGTTCAGCATCAAGTTACTACCCATGGGTGGTACTTGTCTGCATGCAAAAAAAAAAAAAAGTTGTTCCCATGTCTGCAAGAATTCAACAGAAACCTTTCAGGATGAGGATACTGAAACTGGGTTCCGGCAGAACAGACTTAAGGGGGAAGAAATAAAGATTAGTAATGGTACGGTGAAGCACTTAAGAGAGTAGGACAGGTAGTAGGAATGCAGAGTAGCATTTCAGGATTCTGATTTCAGCGGCTGATGGACATAGTGAGAAGATAAAGTGAAAAGGTTAGAGTGAGCTTCTACTTCTTACTGTTGAACTTATTATCCTTAAAACAAGTTAAAGAAGCAAGAATTAGCATATTTATTCAAAAACAGATAATCCTGAATGTATGGCATTTTGCGAAGAGACTGAAATCTATTCTGTTTTTCAGTACTGAGGAAAAAAAGCATCAGACTTAGAGGTGAACAGACAAGAGGAAGCATGCAGCATCTAACACACTTGGTGAGGTGGAACGGACATCTGGCTTAACTCATTTAAAGGCCTTTAATGCAGACCAGTTCGTTGATTTAAAAAAAAAAAAAAAGACAAAGGAATATAATTTAAGGTCAAGCATACTATGCATATCAAAGGATAGATACTCACATTGGCTGGAAGATGGCTATGCCGGGGCTTCTGAATCGGAACATGGACTTGAAGAAGTGTAAAAAACTCCCCAACTGTGATAACACCATTCTGAAATTTCTGTAAAGATTAGGAAAAACCTATAGATAAGTACATTTTTCAAGCAAGAACACTTACTTGCATATATGCACACAAGTATTTTTCCTGTTAGGGCAAGAAGTTAGCATCTTTCAGCTTTTTACATACCTCCCATAAGTTATCTTCACAAATGCTATCTGTGAGAAGCTGAGACTCCATCTGACTGCTTCGTTGAACTAGCCAAAAAAAAAACAGGGGATGTTGCTAGGGTTAATAATATTCTTACAGAAATATGAACCTAAGCTCATTAGCTCTAGGAAAAAAACAATTTTAATGTAGAGTTTGACCTTTATGTGTGTTTCCAGTGCTGAATGAAGTAACTGAGGAAACAACTACTTGGGACAAATAAGGAAGACTAGATTAAGAATCTAATGTAAAATAAAATCTGTGTCAGAGCAGTAATGAAATGAGAGAGTTCACTTTTCTATGGGAAGAAAGCCGTATGTTACAGGCTAAAAAGTAATAAAACTGAGAAAGGACTCCAGCCAGTTCACAGAGGGAATCCTATGTAGACAGAGACCAAAGAGCATCTGAGCCGCCAGCAGCTTTCAAGGCAAAAACATGGCATTCAAGTTCTGAGCCAACAAGAGCTAGTTTCTCACTCAAAGGAAAAAGCCCAACTTCTACTGGAAAGGCATATGCTTTCATGGTTGCAGGAGGCCAAAACTGGAATTGGTTTTGTAAACAGAGGCAAGATATCACTTCTCAGATGACTGGCAGATTTCTGCCTCATTGTTAGGTATCAGCTAATTAGCAAGAGCTAATTAAACCTGGGGGCTGAATCTGCTTAGAGTCTGTCCCTGCAATGCATTCTGAGGAGTCCTTTTCCAAGAGCACAGTGCTGAGACACCCAGACTCATTCTGCGTGGGACCAGCTTAAAATCATCTTTGGGCCAGCAGAGTTTGAGTTGGGGCTTTGCTCTGCACTAAAGTAACTAAACTGCCTCATCAGCCCAACGTGCCCTTGAAAAAAAAGCTGTACTTAAATTCAGCTTCTTTTTCTTCCCATCTCAGTTTTCCTGAACAGCTTGGATTCTTAGCCAGAACGTAAAAGCATGTTGACTGGCTGGGTGGGAAGATGTGACACAGGCTTTCAAGGCCTTTCTCAAATGAAATATATACTATGGGTGGGGCTCTTCCTTAATTAAGCGTAAAGAACACAAGGTTCAAGACTATTACCACAAAGCAAGTCTTACTTGTTAATTCTGTGTCAGCCTTAACAGAATCCAGAGAGCTGCTGGTGCTGGCATGAGTACAGTCAGGGCTTTTAGCCGATAGATTTGGAGGATCTTCACTGTCATGAACTTCTACTTGGCTTTGAGACACAGCACCAAAAGTACCCTAATATTAGCATGTTAAAAAAAAAGAATATTAAGAGAGTTATATCAAACAATGTAAGTCAATCAGTAGTAGTTTATTGTAGCTGTTTCTTGACATTCAGAATCGTTTCATTTTTAGTATTGGCACGTTTTATATCTAATCAGCATGACAAACCAGCGTACGGCTAGTTGAGCCACTTCCTGTGATGACATATAGGAAGTAAAGCTGCAAAATCCTTCACTCATTTCTCAATCAAAGCAGTAGCCACCACAGCACACTCTTCTAACTTTTGGAACTAGAAAATTTCTACTGATGATTACAAAGTTATTTTTAAGGTCAGATGAATGTTCCATATTTGCACAGATTTTCTTGATTCAACTGCAATTTGTGTTGTCTATAAAAAAGCTAATTTAAACTAAACATCCATGTTTGGATTTTCAATAAGTGCTTTAGGCCTTACTCTGTCATTGTACGTAAGCAACAACTAGCAAATAGTTTAGTTCAGAGGACTGAGAGTATTTAGTCGAGAAAGGATTAAAAGGATGCTCTAGAGAGAATTATGTTAAATTGGCACATCCCTGATTCTGTCTGCTTTGCATGGTTCAGGAAAGTTCCACACAGCAACCTGATTCTCCTATTTTGGCAAAACAATGAAAAGTACAGGGGATGACATAGCAAAATGACAGCAAACTGCTGGTTAAGAGAAGTAAGAAAACCTACCAATAGATCTGCTTACACCCCCAAATTTAAACAAAAGTCCTGTTAGTGTTCACTGTATCCTTATAATGAGTGATTAGGCTCACCTGCAAGTCTTGAGAGGCCTCGCCATCCAAGTTTTCACGCCTCTTGACCTTCTTTGGACTTTGAAATTCCTCCTCCTCATCTTGTTCCAAAGCTCTTTTTGTGTTGCAAGTTTTTGTTTCTTCAAATTGATTCTTTTCATTGTGGGAGGTTTGTTTTTTGCTTATCTCTTTGCAAGCATTTTCCACGAGTTCAGAGCTTACGGATTCATTTGAATCCATTTCTTCTAGGCAGACAGGAAGAAATTCTTCTGCTATAAACTGAGAAGGGCTGAAGTTCCGCCTACTAGACTTGTTACCTGGGGTTTCACCAGTGTTTACACTTACTGCTGAAACTGGTGCTTCTCCTTTGTCAGAAGATTTTGCATTTATGTCTTGTACGCTAGAAACAGAAGGATTTCTTCTGTTTGGTAATTTAGGCTGGAAGATACCTAGAGGGACATTTATTCCTTGGTATTTTTCCTTAAGTGCCATGTCTAAATTTGCATCTACGGGAGCAGCTCCAGATTCAAGACATGTGTTCTCCTGCTCTTTGGTATAAAATAATTTATTTGGTTCATTTACAGTGTTTTTTCCTAACCTCAAGGTATCCTCTGGCTGAGTTGATGATTTGGGCAACCGGTCAGAAAAAGCAGTTTCAGAAACAGAGAGAACTGCAGACTTCCTTCTAATATTTTTTAGTTTTGAACACACATTTAAAATACCTGATAATTCAGGTGCAAGAGTGGGATCTAGTTGATCTCTTGGACTGTCATTGACCAAAAGTTGCTTAGTTTGTTCAGAGTTTATTTGAAAGTCTTTTGGAGGTGCCTCCCCTTCAGCTGACAGCCCCTCATTTTCCTTTGATTCCTTGTTAGAAACTGTAACAAGGCTTGCTCCAGCCAAGCCTAAATCCATAGCTAAATTTTCATGTCTAGATGAATTATCGTTCAATACTTGGTTTCTCTGAGTACTACACGCATCTGTAGAACCCTTTAAAGAATCCGATTGTTGGATGGGAAGTGAAACACAGGATATCAAATTGTCACTTTCTTCACTGCAGTCTGTGGGACCATTACTTGGAAGCTTGAAAGATTTTCTCTTTGATTTCAGGTTTTCTGGAGGTATGAGATCCTGCTCACTGCTTACAGGGACAGAATTATCTGTGGGAAGGTCAAGGTCCTGTGGTGTCCGCACACCCAGAGTCTCTTCTGGAAGTGAGACAGAATAAACGGAATCTGGTGGTGTCCCACTGGGGACTTTGAGAGCTCCTCTCTCATTAGGAAATGCTGAGGCTAATGAAGCAGACGAGGGAATGCTAGGCTTGTCCTTAGATTTTGTATGATATTCATAATTCAAGTCTTTTATATGTGAGGAATCTCTTCCATCTTGGCAAGAAGACATCAACGCACTATGCAAGCCTGGTTGATGAGTGCTTTTATGTGACACTTCTTGATTCTCAAATCCATTAATATTTTTATTAACAGCAATAGTATGGGATGCAGTTATTTCCATGTCATCTTGGTTGTGGGTAAACACAATGGTTTTATCAGCGGGAACCGCAGAAATGGCTGGAATGGCTTCTCTGTCCTCTACACCAATTTCACCACTTAACACAGCTGTATGAGTTTTAGTGATCTCCATATCCTCAGCCAAAGTAAAAATGACTGTTTTGCTATCTGAAACAGCCTCCTGTCCAACCTCCTTAGGCAGGTTTAATCTATCCTCACAAAAGACTCTTTCAATGCTTTCATCAACAGAGTGAGACTCAGTCATCTCCATGTCAGCCTGGTAACTGGTAAACATAATTGTGGAAGTTAAAGGAACAGACTGATTAGGTTGCCTACCTTGCCGAGAATTTTCTTCCAACACTACATTATGGGTTTTAGTGATTTCCATATCATCCATAGCAAACCTCGTAGCTTCGCTATTTGAAAGTGCTTGCTGTCCAACCTCCTTGTCCAAGTTCGGTTTATCATCACATACAACTTTTACAGAAATTTTATCAGCAGAGCAAGATGTGGTAATGTCCCCGTCAGCCTGGCTGCTTGCGAACAAAACAGTTTGAACAGGATGAGCTGAAGAGAGAGAATGAAGCCCTCCCTTGTGTTGCAAGACCATTTCACGGCCTATTGCAGCTGTATGGCTCTCTGTGATCTCCATGTCATTATTCTCATCACTCAGTGAAAATAAAACAGTCTTTTCCCCTGTTGTCCCCTTCAAACTTTTCCTTCCAGTCCTTTTAGCTGTGTTAAGCATCCCTTGAGATGCAGCCTTTTCCATAGATTCATCAATTACAACAGTATCGAGTCTACTTATTTCCATGTCATTATTGTAGGTAAAAACGCAAGTTTTATCTCCAGAAATTAATGATATGTCATCATTTGAACTTTTATGTTGCAAAATTATTTTGTTGTCTGCTGAAACTGTATGACTTCTGGTGATGTCCATATCAGCATCTTCTGAAAATATGGTAGTTTTCTCATCTGCAAAAGGGAAATGTTGTAGACCACTCTCGGTTAATGTTTTCTTGCCAGATACTAAGGAGTACACATCACATGCAGGCTGCTCCTGACTATTTATTGTCATCATGACCCCTTTTTTTAAGGGCATTATTTTATTTTCATCCTGAACAAGGTATCCAGGTACTGCTTTTCCTTCTGATAAAACAGCATTGATGTTGTAATCAGGAACCGTTACAGCACAGTTTCCAGTCAAGTCCATGTTTTCACCAGAGGGAAACACAACTGACTTTTCTAAAAACAAAGGCAATTGGGAACTTCCCTTATGTGGTTCAGAGACAGTGGCTCGTAACGGCTCTTCAGCACCACTCAAGTGCAGGCCATCACCTGAGTGAGAAGAAACTGTTTTACCAATTGAAAAATCTCTCTCAGAATCTACTTGAGTTGGCAATACTTTGTTTGCTACCTTCATGGTACAGGTTTTCTCAAGCCTGTCTGAGTTTTGGCAGTCTGCATTTATTCCTAATGTTGTTCCAAGTTGTTCATTTCCTTTCATTCCAGAGGGAGCAGGCTCATTACTGGAAATAAATGAACCATTTGGAGCCAAAGGAGTAACAGTTTGCTTATTTGCTTTCTTTTTCAAATCCCCACATTCTATTGCTGCAGTCTGACTTGTGATATCTACTCCAGAACTACCAGAAAACTGCAAGGTCTGGTGTTGCAGCTGCTTGGATATTACATTATTTTGATTACGATTGTTCTCGTATCCTTGTACTGTATTAAGAGGAGCAACATCAAAGGCAGCAGGATGAGTTTTGGTTATGCCCATGTTTTGATCAACTGAAAACATGCCCATTTTGTCATTTGTACAAGAAACTGAAGCGTTTAGAAGGGTTTTTTCCAAAGGTTGCGATATACCAACTCTTTGACTTTGCAAAGACATGAACACAGAGTCGTCGGTGACAATATTCTCAGGGACTTCTCTCTTTTGCTCTTGTAAAGAACACAGGCTCTTTGCACAGGAACTTGGACCACCTGCCTGAAAGTTTGTTTTTCCAAGCTTCTTATCAACCATTATCATCTCAAGATCTTTAGTATTCATTTCTATCGCCTGGCTTGTTTTAATATTCCCATCGATACTGATCACCTCAAGATTTTCCTTGTCCATATCTAAAGAATTTGCACCTTCACTGACATTTTTGTTCTGGTTCTTTCTTGGAATTATTTTACAAGGTACTTGTTTTGCTTCTGCAGTTATCCCTATGCTTTGATCATCAATGACAGCATTATGGCATTTAGTTATTTCCATTTCTTCCTGTTCCTTTAAATTGGGAGATGTAGATCTGTTATCGAGAAAATGAGGTTTGCAGGTGACGGAGGGGAACACTCCAGCGGGATATTCATTTTCAACATTCTTTCCATCATCCTCAACAGCACAGGCTTTAGTCAGGTCCATATCTTCTCCTGAGAATATTACTGTCTTCTCACTTGGCAAAGAAACAAGTTGAGAGTTTGCTAGTCTGGGCTGAAGTCTACTCTTCGAAACACCAGCAGACACTGAATTTGTACATGAATCAAGACCAACATTCACAGAAGCAGTCCCGTGACCTTGGGTCACTTTTTCAATTCGTTCATCTGAGCCCGAAGATGGTTCAAGTGCACTATTTTTATATGACACAGAAGCTCGATTATCTAAAGATGTTAGACTCTTTGTAATGTCCCTATCACCATGTGCTAGATGTCTGTTTTCTGCTAGCAAAGAGTTTGTATTAAGTGGTTTTTCAAAAGTTTTATGATGTGAACTGTTCATTTCTTTGGTATTGTCATTGTAGATCACATCTGTGTAATTCCCAGTAATTTCCATGTCATCACATTTAGAAAAAGCAACAGTTTTATCTCCTCGGAAGACAGTCTCAGAAGAAATGGTTCCTGGGATGGCAGACATTGTTCTGGCCTCTTGTTTAACAGTTAGCAGCACTGTAGGATCTCGTCTGTCTTCAACATTTACCATTTTTTTGTCCACGCAAAGTTGATTCAATTAAATGCTGATTAGATGCTCTCTTTAACATAGAATTATCTAACTCTGCGGATGGGAAATCCTTTTTGAGGTTTAGACTTTGATTCCCAACACTGGAGAAGGGAAAAGACATTTTTGCAGTGTGACTAGTTGTCATATCCATTCCATCATCTGCAAATGTCTCGGTAACATCCGCACACAGTAATTGCTCTGGTGGAGCTTCACAAATATCAGAAAACATAGCTTTAACATCAGATGCCTGGCATTTTGTCACTTCCATTCCATCATCTTGCCCTCTAAAGACTTTTGTTACATTGCAGGTGTCCAGTGCTTCATGGGAATACACAAATTCCACTGACGATTGTGCCATATCTTCTGAGACTTGTGAAGAGACAAAAAAACCATTCCCTTTTTCAAGTCCCTCAATAGGATTGTGTGCCTTTTCATTTGACTTCAAGCTCATCAAAAATTCATTGAAATTTATTTTTTTTACAGTAGTAGCATCTTCCTTCTGTTCAAAAGATGGGCACAAATGGTTTGTAGGATCAGAGAAAAAATGAAATTCTTTGTTCGTTTCTGCCTTTCCATTGTTAGAATTTAACCCAGCCAGAAATGACGTGATATCTATTTTCTCAGTTTTGTCAGCTTGATTGATTTTCAGGTTACGTGTAATCACTGCAGTGTGACTAGATGTCATATCCATTTCATTTTCATCTGAAAAGATGAGGGTTGTGTCATGCTTATTTGTTCTTTGAATGGTGTTGTCCACATCATGACACTAAAAAAAAAATTAAAATAAAGAGAGAAAGAAACTACAGTTTCTGACACTTAAAACAAATGATACAGTAGTTCATTCTATTTAAAACAAAAGTCAACTAATGCAGTTCTAAGGTTGTAGCTCTATCTTTACATCTTTTTGGGAAAAAAAAAAAAATTATTGATTTCAGTCCTCCTCAATATGCAGTAACATTCAAGGAAAGGACGATGACTTAATTATTAGAGCATATCATATTTAAATTGGGTTTTTTGAAAGAATGTGTATTAGTTTTACTGTTGGGCAAAGACTTCATGTCTAGACATACCTTAGTAAGCACGGAACAATTCCTGAGTCTTAGGGATCAGTATTTTCTATATCTCTACAGTGTGGTTTCTGCCTCCCCCCCCGCCCCCCCAACTGCAGGTAAAAACCTTGCCCAGCTTATCATACATGTGCCCCAAAGCAGCAGCACCAAGTTGGATGTTTTAAAAGACTTTTCCACCACTAACTAGGATGATTTTAGTCTCTTTAGTACAGAGGATTTACAGTTTTAAAGCTGTAGGAAAAAATTGGCCAGTAACAAGATATAATACTACATTTTATGAAATATAATTAATATATTGATTGAGAACAGCTTTGTGTTTACTTGAAATTACATATGCTATTTTGTAAATGCAAGAAAAAAAAATATACTGGAAGAAGCACAACCATATACATTACCTAAAGCAATGAGAGACAGAGTTTCAATCTCACCTTTATAGCCTCATGGTACACATCACCTCATCCACACGAGATTGATTTTAACTGGCTTTGTTTTGGTTTGTTGTTGTTGTGGTTTGTTTTTTTTTTTTTAAACATTCATTAACAAGAGCTAACTTACGTTTTTAAGACATATCTTTAAACTCAACATAAATGTCAGAAGCCATTGCAGTAAGGAAGATGGTTTCAGCAATTGCTTTGTTTAACAACACAGTGCCGTAACATCATCACTGAAGCATAACACAGTTCAGGATTTCTGTGCACTTGTGCCTATGAAGGTCTTAGCTAAGAATTTGGTGTTTTATCACTTGGTTCAACTGAAGAAATTCAGTTACCTTTTCATGCTAATCATTACAATTTGTCTAAAGCTTTTTAACAGCAGGAACAGAGAGTACATTTATGCGTATCCACTCTACCCATGGAAGAACAAACACACAAGCAGAGAGTAATACATGAGAAAAGAAATACATAACCAGACCTATTTGAAACTTAAGCTCCTTTGCATATTCTTAGATAAGAATTGAAAAGAATGGAGGAACTAGCTCAAATACTGAAAAGTTAGCAAGCAATTTTGGAGGCAAGAGTTGTCAGTACTGCAGTATAATGCCTACCAGATTAGGAAAATACTCCAAAATATAGAAATTAGCTTTCATAAGAATTTTATGTGAATACAAGGATTTATTTTTTAGGCAGTTGAGTTACATTTTTCATCTTTACTACACAAATTATTGGAATATATTTTGGACACTAGTATTTTCAGCGCCAAAAAAATAAAAGCCTTCCTATACCTCAGTCTGCTGCACCAATGCCTGGATAGGGGCATGAAGCAAAGTGTTCATCCCTGTTGAAAGAAAAGGAAATACTCCATTTGCTCCGCTATTTTCTTATTGTTCTATTCACAGCACTGAAGATCTAGGCACTCATTTTACAAATATCACTGAGTAAGTAAGTACAATTAAAACCAAATACTTCCTGAAAAATATTTTCAGTACTCCCTTCAGCATGGGTAGAAGAACCACCCATACTTCTACAATACAATGCTTGTAAACGGCTTCACAGGACAAAGGCCATTCATGCAACAGGCATCTCGGTCAGGGAGATTCTTCTGGGCATGTTAAAATTATTCAAACAGAATCAATAGTTTTAAATAAAGATAGTAATTTTGTTATTAAATCTGTTTCCAAACTCACCAGTGATCTCACACGGAACAGCTTCAGGTTCTTCATTTCTACAAAAGGTGGGTTAGGTAAACAGTTGGTTAAAAGATTTCAAAACAGAAGGCTTCAGCAATATACTGAAAAGGCAGAGAATTCTGTTGCATAGCTCATACGGGACTGGGCAGCAGATACCAGACACTACTTAAATGTCTTCAATATATTCTAATTTGAGTCGCAATCTTACTTTCCCATGAGATTCTCTCATCTTAGCATGCCACAAGCCATTGTTCAACATACCGGTGGCATTTTAATTCCTCAGTGGCAAGTAAGAAAAAAAGAGAAAAGATTAATTCTTTATTTTTAACTCAGACCTCCCACTTTTAGTTACTCCTTTCTCTTTGGGAAACTGGTGCTGTGTTCTTAAAGCCTGAAATAATTTCTCTGTGAAACAAAAGCCAGATACAATGTCCAACTTGTGTGGGTTTCTGTCTAACTTTTTTTTAATGCCTTCTGCTCTTCACCATTTTACTGATTGCTCTTTCAAGACCAAGAAACCTTAGCAAGAGTACTGATTTTTATTTTTTTTTATATACACATATATGTATGTTACTATAGTGGGTTGATACCTTTAAAAGCATGAGTTAACTACAGCTGTACATAAGCTGTTTCCTCGCTATATATTTTAAATGTAAGAAATTCCCCTTCACACACAGAAAGTGTGTTATTTTCCTTATGAGGTCATTGTAATTTTAAAAATCCCATCACTGTGTTTTATCTAGACAAGAACTTTAAGGCCAGAATAACAATTTATCTACCTCTGAGGGAAAAAGTTATGGTAATAAATACTGAAGACTATATCTATCAGATATGGAAACTGGTAGGTCTTTCCTGGAAAACATTCCCAAGCAAGCAGCTTTGGAAGGAAGCCGTTTCAAGCAATAATGGTTTAATTTTTCAGAAACCACTATCTTTTCGTGAGTGACCAACACTGCTATATCCTTTTTTTTTTTTTGCTGTATCCTTTCTTTCACCAAAAGCACTGAGCAATTTTATATCTAAATAAATATGTATGCTGCATTTCTTTGAGGACTATTATTTTGATGGTTGCGTATCACATGAAGAGATGTATTTGCAGGACAGAGCTCTATAGTCATGGGAATTTTTTTTCAAACTTACTGATTAAGAAGGACATCGTTCCTTGTATCTGCTGCACATTCTAAAAACAATAAGACATTACAATGTGAGAAGCATGATCAAAACATTCAGAGACAAGAGTAAAGTGCACAGAAAAGAATGTTCTGATGTTCTCACTCTCAATGTGCCTTCTTATTGCAGCAAAAACCCAGAGAAGCAAATTACTTGAAAAATGCATTAGCTTTTCAGATTCTTACTAGGTAATCTTTGACACAGTGAATATGACATTCTGCTCAGCCTTGTTTTGGTCTAAGTCCTCAAGGCAGATTTTGTATTAGGTGCATTTGGTCAAAAAAAAAAAAAAGATAAAAATTTCTTTTTCTGAGCTACAAGGTCCACAGTACCAGTAACTAATGGTTTTTCATCCAGTCCATGATAAACAGCTGACCATATTGTTCCTTACCTGTGACTGACAGGCCTGACTTCTTAAATTCAGGCTAAAATCCTGTTGCTAATAGTCTGTGAATCCTGTCAGGAGAACAAAAAGGAGTTTTACCTGTATTTTCTCCCTCTGAAGCGTTATTCTTAAGATCTCGCTGGAAGACTCTGCAGCTAAGAGCAAAAGCAACACCAGTTTTTGAAACAGATGGGTTTGTGTTTTCAAAGCTATTAAAAAAGAGGACACCCCCCCCGTCTGTCGTCCCCCCCCCAAAAAAGCAGCCTAATTTCAATCTTTTCCACATGGTATGTTCTGAAATGAGATATCAAAAGCCAGAACTGTACTGAACCTAACTGCATTTTCCAGCAAAAAGATGCCATTATCATGCTTAAGATGGAAATCACTAAAAAATTTAATGGGAAACAAAAATTCCTAATTATATTAAATTCATTGAACTGTTGAGGTTTTTTTCCAGCGAGGAAGAAAAAATGAATAATGGCTCTCTCAGGCTCAAAATCAACTCAATAACAACAGTCACCAGTTTGCTGTTTGCATACATTTGCGAATATTCAGTGAAGGCAATTTTAGAGGATACCAGATTATTACCTGTAGCCTGGCATTTGAAGCTTAAACAAAGGATGTAGATTCGCATCCTTCAGATCAAACTTACTTTATGGTGTTCGCAAAGCTGACACGGCGAGAATTTTTCCTACGTTTCTCTATATTGATGTCCTGACAATAAAGAACACAACAGTTTGCTATACAGAGGACTGTTCTTATTCCATAAGCCGCAATAAGCACAGCTTCTAATGAAACAGCAAAACAAACAAAAAAACCAACCCCCCAAAAAACCAATAATCTATAAGCCCAACAAGTACAGCGGATATTACCAACATCCTTAAAGTACTTTATAGTTCTCCAACTTCTCCTGACATAAAGACATCCATCTCATAAGAGGTAGGATCTAAAGATCATTTTGTGATAATTGCCTGGTTTCAAACACAAGAAGCAGAATACCAGATATAAGGATTTTTGTCTAGCATATTGTCTGGCATTCTAGGGAAAATACATGTAGTTGCTTAGCAAGAGAACTGCAGGGGTTTTTTTTCTTTAGTTTTCTGATACAAGAACTGAAAAAAACCAAACAACGGAAACAATGGTTTGTCTTTATGGGAGAAAGGGAAGGATTCATGAAAGAATTGAAGTCACTATTTTCCTATGGAAATGTTTAAATGGTGTCACTGACTACCCGATCATACTAATGCAGTGTTACAAGGTATGTAACGATGCAATATTACACATACTGGAAAGCCAATTCATCATACCACTGTTGTGCAGTTGTCTGTAATAATCTTCCCCAACTAAACAGCTCAGTCTCAGGACAGTGGAACACACATTGTTTAAGAAAACACAAAGTATTAACATACCAGGCACTACCTGTTATATGCACATGACTAACAAAGCTTGTAAAATACTTAAATTTGTTTTTAAGTTGTGTCAGCAACAGGAGCAGTTATGAATGATGTCACACTACTGTATATGATAGTCTTATATTGCTCATTAGCAGTACTGTCCACCGTTGTGAACAGGTATTAAAGTTTAAATGAAGACTGTGAGCCGCTCTTCATACTTAACCCAGATTTGAAATAGATGTGTTGGGCACAAATATTTCAGCCTCACATTTCATATTCTAAATAAATTATTAGAGGCTTTTTCACTGAAAGCCTTATATGCTAAAAATGAGTTTTCAAGTTCTGTAATCAGCAACAGATAAATCATATAAATATATGATGCAACTAGAACATTAGTCCATAGAACACACCCTAGGTAGGAATGGCATTTAAAAAGAAATCCAGACTGAACAGGCCTATAGTTACAATTTCTAAGAAACAACAGACACGATAAACATGAAATATGTTCTGTATGTATTTCTGGAAGAAAATGTTTATTTTTTAGCTTTTACTTTAACTAAATTGGCAGGCTGATTTTTTTTTCAGACATAAAACCATCTTACTGACTATACGAGTTTGTACGCTGGTGGATCAAACTTCAAGTCAAATGGGCTACAGCAGGAGCAAGTTATGCGTATTAATCTCTGTTTATTCCTCTTTTCTTGATAGAAAAAATATTCTGATGTAAAACAGAAGTATAAAAAGAACTCAATGGACTTCTTAAAATATTTAGTACTCCAAACATTATCATCCTAAGCAGTTATTACAAGAGTTTTTACACCTGCATTATTCTGGTGACAATTTAATCAGCGACAAGTTGAGGAGCAAACTGAAGATGTTAAGAGCGTTGGCAAGAAAGGACTTAAGAGACCTACCTGCGTCAATTCATTCCCGTTTCCCAGATCATCAAGAGGATTTCGTGGAGCCTTTAAAATCTAAAAGAAAATACAATAGTTGAGAAGATCAGTTCCAAGAAGAACTGATGACTTGGCTGGAGAGAGGTTATAAGAGCCACCAGTGCCCGAGTCAATTATATCAATCTAATAGTCTCTTTCTTTGCTTTTGGAATGCTTTTCTTCAACTGTGATGAGAAAACAAGTTCCTCTTTACAGTTTCACTTTCTTTCCTTCACTCATTTACATGGTTTTCTTTTGAGAAATGGCTTAAGTTACTCACAGAGGACAGTCGCTTCCTTCTCATGTGCTCTGTATTATCACTGGAGGGGAAAAAAAGGAAACAGGTATTAGGGCATAAACTTGAACCAAGATGAATTTTTTTAAGCAGTACTGCCGTGTTTTTAAGGTTAATAAATTGATTTCTCTGTTATTTTTACAAGTGTGAAATTAAATAAACAAGCTTGCTTGGAATAGATCATTCATTCCCGCACTAGTTCCCAAAAATAAGCTTTAGAAAATTCAGCAGCTTTCCCTCCAAACCCCACGGTCAGTTAGTCTCCAGCTATGATATTTCCTCAGAGCTTTCCTACACAATCAAAGAAACTCTGTGTTCTTCTTCACAATGGAAAACACATTTCATTCAAGAGACGCTGAAGTGCACACAGGCATTAAGAAAAGTTCTGCCTCTAAACAACAATATTTATACCACAATAAAATTCTTAGAAAGTTTCAACTTACTTTTCCATGTTAGGGTCTGCATAAATCTTGTCCATTTCTGAAGGATGTGATTTTCCTATAAAATACAATACTGAAATCCAAAAACATTAACAAATCTCAGTAAGAAAATCACATAAAACCACAACTAGGTACTAGCCTTGTATGCTGTAATTTTTCTCTCCATCTTTCTCTAGTCACAGAAATACACTGAAGTATAATAGGCCTCTCAAGTCCATGTTTTCCTTTTATCATATCATATATCGTCAAACAACTGTGCCAACAGTTTAAGTCTTATTGGTTAGGCGTCCTTTTATTTAAGGTTAAGATTCTGGTTACTGTTGGAGATAAACGTGATCAAAGCTTCTGCGATACAAAGTTTGCTAGTGTGTCAGAGCAAACAAGACAATTTGACAATCAATACTTCCCTCACCCCAGGAATATCATCTGTCAATTCAAACAACTCCCACTAGCACAGAAAACTACCACACTTATCAAATATGTATAAGGGGATGAAATGAATTAACCCACACTGACTGGATGCCCGTGATAGCACAGACTTAATATTGCCTCACATTTCTTGTAAACTGCAACAAAATTCAGGGCTTTGAATACTAGGTTAATGTTCCTCATAACTTCAGTTTCCCATGGACCTGACAAAGACCATGAAAAAAATGAACCAGAGAATAAAGACTATAAGATCAATACATGCAATTTTCTGTGCTATTTCCTAGATTTCAGTGATGATCTGTTTTTACATGCATCCCTCCATCAATAACTATGCAAAGTATACTTACAGGATAGCTATAAGCAATCTGACAACATTTATCACGTTACTTTATTCTCCCCTAGCTAAACCTCAGCAAGCAGCCTTGCAAGAGAAACCCTTGTCTAAGCAAGGACTGGGTGATTTGTAAAACTGACAATTAAGTTTTACAATTAGAAATAGAGACATCTGCACAGAACTGCTCAGCTTTTGCATTTCACAGAATCACAGGCTCTCAGGTCTGCAGGGACCTCTGGAGATCATGCAGTCCACCCCTCTGCTCAAAGCTACAGCAGATTGCGTAGGACATTGTCCATTCCAGTTCTGAATATCACCAAAGAGGAAACTCCATCATCTCTCTGGACAACCTGTTCCATCTTCACTGCATTCGTTTCTCGCCTTATGTTTAAATGGTATTTCTTGTATTTCAGTTTGTGCCCATCGCTTCTTGTTCCTTCACTAGATGCAACCAAGAAAAAGCTGGCTCCATTTTCTTTAAACCCTCCCATCAGATATTCATACAGATGGCTAATTTCCCTCCGATAAGCGACATCCACTGCTCTGCTTTGTCCACCAAGGCAGCTACCTCATTGTAGGTGATTTAAACCACAAACTGACTCTTATTTTCCAAGCTAAAACTAAGCCTATGGAGGAAAAAGAAAGCAAAATTCTATATCACATAAAATGTTATTGCATGTTATTGGGATATTGCTCACAAGGCAGAGCAGAGTTTGAATTATAGGGGAAGGGATATCAGTTTTCAGATATCAGTTTGCTCAAAGATGATCTTTAGGCAGGGCAAGAAAGCATGATGAGAAAACTTAGCCAAAAGATTTTTTTTCCCAGTAAATTTCTGTTTGTTTAAACAGAAAAAAAGCACTATTTTGAAGACAACATTACATATGAAGGCATAACAAATAAGAGCTAGAAAAGTTTTCCAGAATGACATTGTAATTGTACACAGTAGCTGATTTGCTGAAACTAACTTTATTAATTTCTTGGTTTAATTTTTGCAGAGTAATTCCTCTCACCAAAGAGGCAGCAGGTGTACGTTAGTACCAGTCAAAAAGGTAGCCTGAGAGGCCGTGGCCTTCAGGGCCTGCAGCTCCGAGGCAACAAACCCGAGATGCTGCTTTCAGGCAGCATCCCAAGGGTGGCTCCCCGGCCAGCCGCCCGAGCGCTTTGGGTGTAAGAAGGGCTGCACTGGGTCAGACTAAACGCAACACACAAGTGATGTAAAAGATGGCTGTGCATACAGGTGTCTAGAGAAGAGCAAAAGAACAATGCACAGCTATATAAAGCCCCATTTAGTCTGCTAGGAGTCTGCTATTAGGAGGTTTGTTAACCTGGAATTCACATCCCAGTCATCCTTCTGTGAACTTATTAGCATATCTTTGACCTACAAGCATATGGTGGCAAGTTGAAATGCTTTGTTACTGTTTATGAAAAAGCATCTCTTTTTATTCTTCTGTTTGATAATTGAGTACCTCCCAGTTCCACACAGTGAACATGAAGAATCGCTCCGTAATTTTTCCCAGTTCATTCGTGATCTTATAGATGCCCATTCAGGCCTCCCGAGTCTTCCCTCCCTTCAAGAGTAGGAATCTGTTCAGTCTCTCTTTACGATTCCTTTTCGTTCTCAGGCCGTTTCCCTCGCGATCCCCTGTGCTGTTTGCTTTACCGCCCTCACAGGGCTGGCAGTCTGGGAGCAGAACGACGGCCAAATGCTAATTTACACCTCCTCATTACTTGTATCGGCGTTTTCCCAAACGAGAATTAATTCGTATTGCTCAAGACTGCATTAATGGGTCAGTTTATGAGGCGATTCCTCTCACGCTTCGAGGCCGCCCCCGACTCCAGCTACCCCAGGTGAAATCACCTCAGGCCCCGGCCCGACGCCGCTCAACCCTCTTTCCACCTCGCTCCTAAAGGCGCCAGGTCTGCAAGCGAGGCCTCTCCTCGCAGCGGGACCGACCTTCTCCTCCCGCCCTTTGTCCGCCTTCCCCTCACC